CTTTTTCTCTTGTTGTATTACAGCTACGTCAATATCACTTCGCATTAATTTAAGGTCTACAGCACAGTGGTTGGACAATGATACACCTTATGAACCAACCGCCCCTTTCCTCTGGCAACTCCCCCCTCCCCCAGAGTAACTTTCTGCACATAACTTTGGTAGAGACGATTATGCAATGTCTGCTTTTAAGTCAGAACCTGTTCCCTCCCAACGAGGAAATGTTGTGGGGCAGCGTATTTTTCCAAATCAAATCCGCCCCACTCACCTGCTGGGGTGAGTCTTTCTTGAAACCAATGATGCACGAGTGTCTTTTTTTCAGAATGTATTTACAACTAAATGAACCAGATACTTGACTAAAGGGGAAAATAATGCTTTTCGAGGAGCCTCCCAAGAGGAAACTAATCTTGAAGCTGACTGAATGTTTGCTGACCACCTTTTCTTCATTGTTAGTTAGTGTCCACAAGAGCCTCGAGGTGCCCGAGTCACAGGGTGCCCACTCTCCTCGGAACGGCCCCGCACAGCCAGAGACTTCCAGGGAGGCCCCTAACTCTTGGCTTGCTCTGTGTTTTAGTTGGTTAACGTCCGTCTGCAGCTCCTTGGAGACTGGGGAGCCCAGTTATGTTCGCATCTCCCTCAGCATCTACGGCTGCTTTGCCCAGAGGGACGGCGGTGGTCACAGAAGGTGGGGGCAGCTACTCAGCAGAACCCAACGGCCATTCCTCACACAAGCGGGTCGGACGCATAACAAAAAAGTCACTTCTTTTGCTCTGGCTGCTGTGGCTCAGTGGACTGAGCACCAGCCTGAGAACCAAAGGGTTCTGGGTTCCATTCCCAGTCAGGGCACATGCCTGGGTTGCCGACCAGGTCCCCAGTGCAAGAGACAACCACGCACTGATGTTTCTCTCCCTCTTTTTCCCTCCCTTCCCCTCTGTCTAAAAATATAATAAATAAAATCTTTTTTTAAAAGTTACTTCTTTCTACTGCTTTGTTAAGAAATCTTTGTTTTCTCTCTACCACCCTGTTACTGATTGGATTTTAAGTGGCTTTCTTGCTATGACTGTGTTGTCCTCGCCCAAGGACATTTTCTCCATTGCTACTAGAGGGAGAGAGGAAGGCGGCAGAGAGGCATCGACTGGGGACCGTTCACATCTGGACTGGGGGGCACATGGGCCTGAGCCTGCAGCCTAGGCATGCGCCTTGACCAGGAATCGAACCCGCAAACTTTTGGTCACAGGATGATGTTCCAACCAACTGAGCACGCCAGCCAGAGTGCTAAAATTTTGGTGGAATTTGTTTAAAAAAAAGAGAGAGAGAAAAATGGAACAAAGGAAAGAAAAGGAAGGAGAGAAACCAGCCGGCCTCTGGTTTTCCCTGCAAACTCATCCGAACTTCCCCTCTAGACTCTGAGCCTCACAGGACCCTCCAGCCAAGAGGGAGCTGCAGCCTGGGACAAGCGGAAGGCCCAGGGCCCCAGCAGCCACTGGAAGCAGTGAACTCAGTTTACCTAAATGTGGCCTAACTGCTTTATCAGTACTTCCGGCTTCCCTCAGAGCTTCTTCGTTGCCCTAATCTCTGGCATGGTGCTCTGAACACAGGCAACAAACACCAATGTTTCCGGAATTCACAAGTGGACTCGACAGGGCTGTCCGATCAGAACCCAGAAGCAGGGCTTCCACTCCTGCCTGCCCATTTGACCGCGGCCGCCACCACCCCACGCTCCTGGAGGCGGGGCTGGGACCAGGAAGGAATGTGCTGGCAGGTCGAAAACTTGCTGCCAGCCCCACAATAGGCAAGCAAGTCTGAACGGCTACCCCGGCTGCACCTTCGGTGACATCAGCGGCCCTCTGAGGATGGCAGGGAGCCACAGGGGCCCTGCTGCCCAGGAGGGCTTTCATATCACCCCTCCTGCTTGCTCTCGGCCGAATTTCCAGTTCTACCAGCTCAGCTCCTCCCCTCCCCCACCCCTCTCCCTATTCCAAAGGAAGGCTGAGCCTGCCTGCCCCCACCCTGGGATCAAACTTCCTGCCAGCCAGCTGCTTCCTCCTGTCCTCCCCCCACCTAGAGAAACAAAGACACAAGCCAGACTTTGGACAGAAACTCTGCTTATCAGGGAGTCCCAGGCAGATGAGCTCTGAGTTTTCAATGCCTGGAAAACCCCAGTGCGAATCTACTCACACCGCTTCCCACATCCCCTCAAAATGGTGAAAACTCTTCCACAACTGCATTTGCAAGTGGTCGATCAGATCTCTCCAGAACTTGTGAAAAGGAAGGAGGCTTGAGGTTAGAGATCTGCAAAGTCTCTCCCTCAATGTGAACAAAGGTGAAAAACGAGCTCCATTATTTCCTAATCTACCACATAAAATGTGTAGCTTTTCAGTCTGTGTTTGACCAGGGTGGCAGCCACTTCTGTGCCCACAGAACATGTGCCTCGACCCCCAGCTGACTGGCAGGGATGTTAACGGCCAGGCCCCAATGCCTGTAACGCCAAAACAAGAAGCTCTCCAGGGCACACTCGGTGAAATAACCAAGATGAAGGATACGCGAGGATGTACACAGTATGTCGCCTTGTGTAAGAGAAGGGAAAAAACACACCGATGCCTAGTTGTATCTGTACAACAAAGCGCTGGAAAGGTACAGAGGAAGCTATGGGGAGGCACGCAGTGAGCAGGGGCGGGGCGGGAGGGAGCCATCCCCACCTCTTTAATATCACTTTTTAAAAGATGTTGTTTATTCATTATATTTAAAGAAAGGGGAGGGAGAGAAACAAGGTGTCAGAATGAAACATCGAGATGAGTTACTGCTTGTACCAGACTGGGAACACCACGGGTGACCTTTCCCTTTGCAGGGTGACACCCAACCTATGGAGCCACACCAGTCGGCCTTTAATATCATTTCGATTCTCGAACCACGCCAAGGTATTAACCTACTCTAAATAAATTTTTTTAAAGGGTAAAAAACTCCAGCAGCTCTAATGTACAAGGATCCCCGTGACCACTCACTGCCCAGCTCTGACTGTTCTCCGTGGTTTCTAGTTTCTGGTTTCAAGGGAACAGTTCTTCCCAAGAGTAACTTCACCGGGGGGAGGGGAGCAGACCAGAGGAGTGACTCACCGTCTCCAGTTCTGAAGTTAAATCTAACCCCAAACAGCAAAACTAGAAGCAACATCATCAGGAAACAGGAGGACGCACAAACCCACCCACAGCAGCTCCCCCACCCTGGAGTATCTGGTAGGGGGCAGACGGAGCAATGGACGCAGTTCCAAAGTGGGTTCCCATTTCCCCCCAAAGTCTATTCTATTCACAGGCCACACTGCCTGGGAGATACCTGGAGACGCTCCAAGCACGGGTGCTGGGGGGGGGAGTGCGTGGGCAGGGGGAGGGCTGGTGCTCTGGATCACCTGGGTCACTGTTGCCCCAGCAGGCTCAGGCCACCCTCCCCACCAGATTCCCCAGGATGGGGCTGGGCCTTTGCTTGACAGTCAGGCACCCTGTGCCCTGCCTTCTCCCAGCTGGCAGGCCCATGGGGAGGAGCAGCCCTGGAGGGAGGGCATGTGGGCACCTGTACATACTTCTGGCGTCCTGGGGGTTTCAGGTGAGACACCAAGGGAAGACCCTACTTACTTTTTACTCTTGCCACTGGAATCTATCGGGGTCTCTCCCTGCTCTTCATCCTTACAGAATCCAAAGGGATGCCCACCACTGCCTTTGCTTACATGTAACACAGCTATTAGTACCCCAAATGGAAGGGAGTAGCACACGCTTGCTCTTCTTATAGGTGAAAAGGCTGAGCTGCTGGTGGGAGATTGCCAACAATGCAAAGCCAAGATGGTCCCGTTGCAGCCTCAGTACAAAGCAAATCACTCTCCCCGGTGCAGCCTGATTTAGTCACAGGGTCCGTTCCTCCATCCCTGGAGATGTGACCACTCAGGACACACGGCCAAGCTCAGGCCCCATCTGCTGGGGCTGCCTCCGAGGGCACCTCTAGATCCCCTGCAGAGGCTCACCGGAGCTCCGCGCCGGTGCTGGTGCAGGACTGTTGGGTGATACCGGACGTGAGGAAGGAAAAGGAGAGAAGGGCACCCAGGGAGCTAACAAGCCTGACAAATGCAATCGCTGGCTTAGACTGTGGCAGGGAACCGACCTCCCCTTCAAAGTGAACTTGGCGAAACCAATCGACATGGCACTACCGCGAGGGGTTGCCACGGTTCTTTTCTTTGAACACTTCCCAAAACATGGACCTCGAGCGGAAAGAGGTTCCCACAGACCGCATGTTCGCACAACTGCGGACAGAGGGACTGACACCCAGAAAGCAGGCGGCCCACGCGCGCCCGTGGGGCAGTGGCCTCCGGTTGCCCGCAGGGTCCCGGCTCCTCCGCCCCCGGCCACCCACTCCGTCAACATCGTTCATTCTGGTAGTGATTCGAGAAAGGGACTTTGAATGCTGTTTTCTGTTAAAACTCAGATTTCAATTACATCTCCTCGGACTTCGCGCTCGACGCTCGGGCAGAGCAGGGGAGGATACAGAGACCCCTTCGGCCACCGCCGCCCCGTCGGACTTAAGGGGTCCCTTCGGGAGCAGGACACCCCGGGGCCCAAGGAGTCGGGCGGCGAGGCCCGCGGCTGCGCGTCCTGGGGGCCCGCGCCCTCCCCGGAGGCGCGCGGAGGCGGGGCCGGGCAGGTGCGGTGGGAGGGCCCCACCCGCCGGGGCGGCCGGGAGCGAGCGGACTCGACCCCCGCGGTTCCTCTCGGCGGGTGCGCGGAGCGGCCAGCGCCCTCGGGGTGGGTGCCAGGGGAGGGGGCACGACTCCGGAGTGGGGGAGGGGAGCCAGCCACGCCGCGGTGGGTGGACGGGAGGAGGGCACGGGGCCGGGCGCGGCGGAGGGACGCGGAGGGCGAGGTCGGCCGGTCCGACCCGTCCCCGCCCGCGGGCACGGCCGTGGGTGCGCCTTGCTCCAACCTCCGACCCGACCCACCGATCCCTCCCGAAACTCGGGAACTTACACAGGATCACCGACGCGAAGAGGAGCAACTGTGTCCTCCGGACCTTCCCCTTCGTCCCCATCACGACCGGGTTCCCGACGCGCCGGCGGCAGCCGAGCCCGGGCACAGACCCAGCTAAGGGCACAGCCGCGCGGATTGAGCTGCGGCCGCAGGTTGAGCCCGCCGGCCCGCCCTCCGCACCCGATTGGCCGACGACGGCCCCTGCGCGTTCCGATTGGAGGAGGCAGCCGTCGCTCCGCTGAATGACTCAAGGCCGCCAGGTGCAGCCCCACCGGGCGGGGCGCAGGTCCGAGCCCGAGGCGACTCTGATTGGCGGGGAGTCGCACCCTGCACCTTCGGCAGGTGAGCGCACCCTGATTGGGCCGCGCTCCCGAAACGGGGTCTGGGACTGGGTGCGGCGCGAGCGGCAGGAGCAGGGGAAGTCCTGGCAGGGGCGGGCAGGGCAGTTGGTGCTACTGCGCCCACGCAGAGCCCGGCCTGGTTTGCTTCCTGCGGGTTTGCACGGACGTTACCGGGCGCTGCGGAAACCTCGGTCGTGTCCTTTGGCAAATGGAAACCTCAGACTAATGCAGTCTGAGGGCCAGGGGAGCAGTGAAGGGTGCCATGAAACCACCCCACACCCTGTTCCTCTGTCCACGGTCAGTGGGAAAGGAACAGGGAGGGGAAAGGGGGACGTTCGGGAAAAAGAATGACTTGTTTCTCAAGAACTTTAGGCGTATGTACACCAAATACTTGAACGATACAAACTGACCTACCTGTGCTCTGCGTCACTGAGTGACCCGCTGTGTCCCCGAACACGTCTGATCTCTCAGAGGAGCCCTGCATTTCAGAATTATTTTCTCACTGTGACTAGTAGTTGGATGCTAACTGAATTCCTCTTTCTATAAACTATGTTTATAGGAAAGCTTTCCGTTAATATAGTTACATCATTTTTAACTGAAACTCACGCTCAACACCTTTACTATTTCTAGTTTCTGCAGTGATTTGATATTCACTGATCATAGTATATCCAAGTTGCCTGTGGGAAAACTTCCTGAACGTTGGTTCACTGCAAGTAAAAAAGTATAAAAGTTTTTGTATAAAGGTTTACAGTTTTATACAAAACTGTAGTATTTCTTTACCTTTTGCTTTTTTCACCTCTGCTCTCATTCCTTTGGTCACATCTTTCGAACCAAAGGTCCACTTCCGATTCTGCCCAACTTAAAGCAATGGTTATCAAGCACCTATGGGGGCTGTAGGGGAATTAATTCGAATAACTATAAACCACAATCCCTGACTTCAAACGGCTACTGTCTACTTCCAAGACAAATACAGGAAATGACAATAGGTCACCAGAGGAGAAACTTCAAATCACTAAATGGAAACAAATATTTCAGTACCTCCCAAGTGCAAACTTCTATTCTTTACCCTCAAAGGAACTTAGGTCTTGGAGAGAGACATCTATGTACCAAGTTAAGTGTGAGCACAGAGAGGACGCAGGGAAGACCTTGGAGGAGGGACCACCATTGTGGGCTGTGCTTTTTGGAGAAAACGCCAATGGGAGATGAGCAGGGGTCACGTGTTTGTCTTATGGATGCCTGAATTTCATAACTGAGCCTGTCGGTCATTTTGCTTGGTCTCAAGGAAGACCAAATCCAAAGTTGCAATCCGGGTCCAAACATTGACATTCATTCCTGACTTCATCTGACTATGCTTTTCAGTTTTCCCTTAGCCCTGACACATATCTAAAACTCTTTTCCCTCTCAGAAGGCAGAGTTTGGTGCATGTACAAACCTACTGTAGTGGGTGCTGTGCTCTGCTACCCAGACTGCCCTTCAGGAAGGAAAGACTCATCCCATTTATCCCCCTGTGGTCGGCCCTCTGGGAATTGCCCCCACTGAAGAGAGGCACCTGGGCCAGAGGCACTCCCCTCCCAGGGTCTCTGGATTGTGTGTCCATGCATCAGGCCAAGGAGGGATGTGTGGAGAATAGGGTCCCTTGTGGGGGGGGGAGCGTAACAGTTCTACGTCTGCACAGTCTGATGCCATAGCGCCCAAATACGTAAAATACAAATGGCAGGGCTGTAGTGAGAAACAGACAAATCCAAACCATGATGACAGATTTGAAGATGACTCGGTAAGCAATTGACAGAACCAGCAGACAGGAAAAATAAATTTGAACATAGTAAACTGAACCTAATCGACAAAACAGAATGCTGTACCCTAAAAATGCAGAATAAACTCTTTTCAAGTGCTTATAGAACATTTGCAAAAATTGGCCACACACTTGGCCATAAAGAAACACTCAACACAGTTGAAATGATCCAAATCACATAGTGTATGTTTTCTGACCACAGTGGTGGTTACATGCATTATGTCCATTCTGTTCCCCGGCACTTACGTCCAGCTCTTCTGTTAAGTACCTCTACTGTTTTATTTGCCTTCTGGTGTTTGTTATTTACAGTCACACACACATCTCTAAAGCCACGTTTCACACGGCAGAGGCTGCACGCGTGTTATCCTGGTAAGCCTGCGCGCCTGTCCAAAGACGTGAATTTTTAATTCCCATTTCACAAATAAGAAAAGTGGGAATTGGAGTAGTTAAAAATAAAGTAACTTGCAGTGACCACTCGCTAGTGCTAAGTCTCACCCAGAACTTGGAACTCTGACTCATAGCCTTTACTGTTCACGGAATAACATGCTACCATTCCTGAGTATTACCCCCCACTTTCTTCCTTCACATTTCCCCCTGGGAATGACTCAACATCTTGATATAAATTCCACATTTATGGAGTTCCTCCTCTCTGCCCGGTTCTGGTTTAATTGCCTGTCAACAAGAGTGGACTGAAGCTGAGTCTGAAGGGGAAGAGCCCCGCCAGCTGTAAGTGCTGCTCCTGGCCTCGTTTCCTGAGTCCTTCGTGGAGTCCAGTTAGGACATTTTACCCACTTATTTCTCTCTCCTCCTTCAGCTTAAAAGCCCTCTGGATGAGGGCAGCAGATACATTATTCCAATTCTTGCGAAACTCGGAGCGGCTCCTAGGGGACTGGAACCAAGGAAACTGAAGAGTAAAGGCCAGGATCAGGGAGGAAGGGGTCTATCTCAGCCTCTGCAGAGCACTGCCGGCTGCGAGCAGAACTGAAGGACAATTTTGGAAAGGCAGGGCGACACCAGACCCAGACTCCAGATTGCTCAGTGGGCCAGGCTCCGGCCAGGGCTTGAGTCACTAGGCAACAAGGAGCTATTGTGACTTATCAGCTCTGATAAGATAAAAATGTTACCATAAAATTGCTCAGGCACTGACGTTTCAGAGAGGCTGACATTAGATCCTGAAAGTCAGGAGGGAACTGAAAACTCAGGTTGCAAACTCTGCAGGGTGTGGAGGGGCTCCAACCGACTGGGAGAAAGAGAAAAACACAGGTCAGCTGTGATGACGCAGGGACACCGTCAATGCAAACCTGGGGCCATAAGAGTCTGGGAGAGGCAAGGGTCTGACGTGGTTTGTGAAAAAATGCAGAAGCTGGGAAGATGCAGATCTGGTCTACAAGGCTCTGCAGCCTCACCTGATACAGTACCTGCGAGGAAAGGGAGGGAGAAGTTTAAAGGGCAAGGGTGACGGTGGGAACAGCTTTTCAAGGTTATGAACCAAATACTCTCAAGGGGAAAAGAGGAATGTTCTCTTAACAATGGGGAGCCGGAGAGCATGCCCGAGCTGGGCCAGCATGGTAACCCCATCAGCTCCACTGGAGGAAGCTCTGCAGTGGTAGCGAGGCAGGAAGGAAGCTGGAAAAATGAGCTGATGCTGATAGGAGATGGAAAATGATTGCCTAGGAAGGGATTAGGCAGGCACGTGATTGGCTGGAAAGGGGCCTGAAATTGTGGGGATTTCTGTATTCCAGATCTTGTTTGGGGTGGTTGTTGACAAGTGAGCGCACAATTGTCAGAACTCTGCGAACCTTGTTTTTATTATAGGTGAATTATGCCTCGATTAAAAAAATAAACACTGTAACTGAATTATGATATTTGAGGAGGGGGAAAAAAGAAGGCTAGAACGATTAAGACTCAAAGAGGGAAATTAGACCACAGGTAAAGTTTCCCAACCAGTCTGAGAACCAGAGGTACTCAGGGGTTTGGGGAAAGAGCAGGGGACACGGTGTCTGCCGGAACCTGGGCTAGACCCTTGCACCGATTTCAGCTTCATCTCCAGACCCCACGGCGCCCACGTAAGTTCCCGCAGTGGCGAATCCTGATAACCAGAGTGGGCCCTCCCTGTGACGGAGCAGGCAGCACCGAGCTCAGAGGGAGGGAGGAGGTTACAGTGTGGGCAGTGCAGGCTGAGGGATCAAAGGTGTGTCCGAGGACTGGCTCGGCCCAGAAAGCCGAGGGGTGGGAAGGAAGGAAAAGAGAGAAAGGCCAGGAATGTGGAAAATGTCTGAAGTAATTTCTGCACAGACCTGAAAAATCAGAAAACCAGGTCTCTCTTTCACAAATAAAAGAACAACACTTTAAAAAATCAAACTTAAAAAGTAAAAAAAAAAAAAAAAGCCATTAAAATATTTAAAAGGACCAAATTCAAATTTGCACCAAACTATCACCAGGCTAGAAGAAAGTTATATACCTGCTGAATAGTGCTGAATTCTGCTTTGGTGCATTTAAAAAATTTTTAAATTAAATTGTGTTAAATCCAGTGTGGGATCGCAGAACAGTGTTGATAGAAACTGGAACCTGCTTCTGGCGGCACAGGAGGGTCTCACACCTGTGCTCAGTGCTGGACACAACTACGGGGCCACTTCCCTCCCCCCTCATGACAGCTGCCACACTGGTCTCAGGCCTGGAGCAGCGGTTTTCAACCTTTCTCATCTCATGGCACATATAAACCACTTTCCAAACCCAAAACTGTAGTTTTGCCCATCTGAGCAGGAAAATGGGTATAATTTTGGTTTGTCCACGCCAGATGACTATTGTGCTGGCTGTTGTCATGTCCTTGTTTGACCATCTGAGGGGAGAGACGACAGGGCCACTGACTAAACGGTCAGGAGCTGCACGAGTTAAAAAGTCCCGTGGCACACGAGTGGAAAACAGCAGCTCTGGCACTAGGGTAGGCAAACTTTCTGGAAAGGGATAGATAGTAAAAAGTCTACGTTTTGAACGATATCATTACAACTCTTCTGCCGCTTCTGCCCCAAAGTGGCCGTAGACGATGGGTACATGAAGGGTCAAGGCCAAGAGGCCCAGTGGGGCCAGTCTGCTGACCTCTGGCCTAGCTCTGGCCTCCTGACTGCATATTAGAATTGTTGAGGGGCTGGCTCACTTGGGGGTCCCTGGCCCCAACCCTGAAATTCCAAACCTGAGATTCTTTTCCCCTCCCTGCCCCCGACCCCTGCCCACCCCCCAGCTGGTAGGCGATTCTGATGTGCATTCTGGGCTGAAAACAATTGTTCCAGAAGAGAAATGTAGTTTTTGGAAATTGCTGAAATTTTGTGTTAGAGGGATGGGGGGTGATGAATGCTGGAAGGAAAAGGCCCCAAGGCTCAACTGAGTCTAGAGTAAGATTAGAACTGCTTTCAATCCAACTGACACATTAAATGCATCCAACGCTTTGATTAAATGCTCTTAAAAAAAAAAACACCTTTATTTATTTTTAGAGAGAGGGGAAGGGAGGGGGAAAGAGAGGGAGAAACATCAATGTGTGGTTGCCTCTTGCATGCCCTCAACTGGGGACCTGGCCCCAAACAGCCCAGACATGTGCCAGGACGGGGGCAATGCACAGTCCGCTGAGCAGCACCAGCCAGGGTCCATCACATGCTCCTTATTGGATGCTTTTGTGTGCAGGCCAATAAGGCCTCGCCTTACGGCCAACCCAATAAGTGGGCACCGTCCTTGCCCTTCCCAGTCAGCGCCTCCCACCTAACCTCCTTTCTGGAACCATTCTCTGTAGGCCCCCGCGTAGTGACGAGCCCTGTGGAGACACAGTGGGGTGAGCACAGCAGGGCAAGCTGGGCCGCAGCCCCGGCCAGGCCCCAGCCGCACCCGCCTGCCCCATACCCTCTGTATCCAAGGCCCTGGGCCAGCTGTGTGGCCTGCAAGCCCCGTTTGCCCATCTGACAGAAGAAAATGAGGTTCTCATCTTCCAGCTTCGGCTTCTCCACCGAGTACAAGGCCTGGAAGGCAGCAGCGTCCATCTGCAGGGCACCTTCCAACTCGGACACTGGGAGGAAGAGTCAGGACAGGACAGGGAGCGACAGTTTCGAAATCTGAGGTTCAGAGGCAGTGCCTGGAAGGGCTGGGTCCCCGGGGTCGGACTAATCTTCACGGGCCTTGCACACTACACCTGGCGGCCACCACCCTCAACCTCAAGGTCAAGATACAGCGCAGTCAAATGGAGAGTCAGGAACTGCCTCCTGAAGGCTAAGGACAAGCAGGTTGTGGGGACCCAACCCTCTGGGGGGTTGAGCTTGGGGGCGCGCTTGCAGTCCCTGACCAGTATGTCTCCCAGCCCGGGAGGGCCAGCTCCACGCTAGTGCAGGCCTCCACCGGCCCCTGTCCCGAAGCCTGGGAGGCCGAGGGAATTCGGGTCCCCGTGCCCAGTCTGCCCCGCGCCACCTACATGAGGCCCCCTCGGCTGAGAGCCTCTGGACCCACGCTGCTGGCGGCCCGTACCCGGGATGTTGAGCGCCCCAGGGATGGTCCCTGCGGCTGCCTCCTCTCGAGACCTCACGTCAAAGAGCCGGGCCCGGCCCGCGGCCAGGAGCGAGCGGAGTTCGGGGAGCAACACAGTGGGCACTGTAGAGGGGACACGAAAGTCTAGCGGGGCTGAACGGGAGAAGAGCCCCTCGCTTGGCACTGCGCCCCAGGCACCCCCTTCCGCTCGCCTCCCACCTGGGAGGCGGCACCGGAACCACAGCCACACCTCCACCCGCCCCACTTCCCCACTCCCGGGCTCCGTGCTCTCCCGGGGCCACCAGAAAGGCCGACTCGCTGAACCGGCACGTACCTGCGGCCATGGCGCGAGCCACCACGGAGAACTGCAGGGCCGCCCTGGCCGCCCCCGTGCCCCCCACAGCCCCGCCAGGCTGGGCCGAGACCGGAACCGGAAGGGAGGCCCCGCCCCGCCCCCGTGGCACCTGTTCCCGGTGAGGACTGTAAATCCCAGCTCACACAACCTTTGGGTCAGCCACGACTCGCTAGTCCCATCCGGTGCCAAGACTCCGAGTCCCCAGCACTGGTCACCCCGGCCCCGCCCTCACCGGTCAGATTGCAGGGTCCCCTCCCCTCCGCCCTGGGGCCCACAAAAGGACAAACAAGAGGCAGCTGTGGCTCTGCATTTTATCTTAAAAAAAGAAAAGGGGGGAGGGGGACCGTCCCCAGAGGGGAAAGGCCGCACGTGGGCTCCGTCTGTGGTTCTCCCTGGACTTCTGCACAGGTCGCATTGCCGCCCAAGCGGCTCGTCTCTTCCGCGGCAGCGGCCGGGCTGCTTTCCCTCCCCCTCACTGCTTGCGGAAGCCCGTTCCCTGGCGCCCTCGGGGGCACAGCCAAGCTCCAGGGAGACGGAGCCGCAGAAGCACGGAGCCAGGGCCGCCAGGGTCACCGTCAGCAAACCCTCTGCAGGTACTGGAAGCCAGCACCAGGCAAACCCCACTGGGTGGGTCTGGTGTCCACCCCGACAGCGTGGGCTCTGTGCAAGGGGAGCCGGGGCTGCACGACGCTGGGCCAGGCTGTCAGGGCACGTCCAGGGTCTCACACCACTGTGTGCTGCTTTCCGGGCGTGCCCCTGAACTCCTCCCAGTATCTTGCCAAAAACGGGCAGCAAAGGAAAGGGGCACAGGGGGAGCCTGTGCTTCAGGGCTTTCTGCGGTTCCAGGACAAGGACACCCAGTCAGTTGCTGTCGTTCTTGATGACCACCTCCACCCCGTGGTGCCGCAGCTGGGCGCGGAGCAGCAGGTTCTTGTTCTTGAGGTCTTCCACCTGGAGGGGAGGAGGCGGTGAAGGCTGGGAGTCCCTGAGCCCATTCCCACATCCACAAGCACAGGAAAAAGGACACGGCCTCTCTGTGGAAAACGGAGCACTCCCAAAGGGCTCAGTGGCCACAGGGGGTGGAGCAGGGCTCCTGGGGACAGGAAGCTGACCTGCTGGCGAAGCACATCGTTGTCCAGCTGTAGCTGGTCGAGCCCCTGCAGCTCTTCAGACAGCCGGTGGTTACTCTGCCGAAGCTCCTGGATGTAGTCACAGGCCTTGGACAGGATCCCACCTTTACTCTGCAGGAAAAGCCAACAGGACGAGGGCCGGAGCCTAAGACACCTGCCTTGCTTTCCAACAGCAGTTCATGCCCAGGGCCTAGTTTCCCCCGAGGAACCTCAGAGAGTGGGAAAGACGGCACCCACAGGACACAGAATGTGGGCCCCTGCCCCCCACGGGGCCTCCCCTGACCTGGCCCGACTTGGTGCTCTCCATGGAGCAGTCTGGGATGATCTTGGACAGCTGCACGATCCAGTTGTTGATCTTGTCCCGGCGGCGCCGCTCCACTGTGGGGGCAGTGAGGCCAGGGCGACTCAGCGAGCGCCAGACACAGGCCCAGGGACAGTGACCTGCCCTCCCCGCAACACCACTGCTGCCCCCAGAACCCCGGATGCCCCCACCTTCATTATGCTGAGCCCTGCGCTTCTCGTCCCTCGTTGTCCTGGGGGCTTCTGACTTCCTGGCGACACCGGTGGCAGCCAAGTAACAGAGGTCAAAAGTAAGAGTGGCATTCAGGGGGGAAGTCGCACGAGAGCTGGCCCTCGTGGTAACTGAGGAGAAACAGGGTTACTCACGGGGAGTAAGGGTGGGTCCTGGGGGCGATGGAGCGCTGGCTTCCTCCCTGCAGCACTTCCTGTGGTGACATCATCACGAAGAACTGGCCTGTGGGGGCAGCGTGGTCTCAGTCAGGATGTGGGACTAGGAGCCTCACCAAGCACTGAGGCCCAGGCCCTGGGACCTCCCCTTCCTGGGGCCGACTTCCTCCTGCCTCCTGCCAGAGGGGCAGTCCCACATTCACTGCTGCCCAGGGCTTAGTGACCAGTGCAGGTCATGAGCAGAGGCCTGCCGCCCCCAGCACGTCCCACAGCCTCCCCGACCACACAGCCAGCGTCCCCACAGGGCATCTCACCAGTGCTGGGCGGCGTGGCCTGTCCCAGCAGCGCCTCTGAGCCCTGCGTTGTGACGACAGCTGCGGTGCTACCCGACGTGGCCCCCGCAGCCCCATCTCCCACAGCAGTGCCCGGGAAGTACGTGTAGTGCGTCTCCGCCGCTGTCCCCTCCGTGTCAACTGCGTCATCACTGGTGAACGCCCCTTGGATCACCGCCTGGAGGGAACCCGGAGAACGAAGTCCAGTGGCTGTCAGACTCCCCAGTGAAGGACTCTGAAGCTTCTACCCACTGAGAGAGGGAGGGAGGCCCAGAAAGGGGGATCCCGGGGCTTGGGGACAGGGCAGCCAGGTGCCTCACCGTCCCCAGCTTCAGCCAGCTCCCTGCCTCATCTCACTCTCAGAGCTCCGGTCCCCCACAACCTGCCCCGTACCTGGGTCATGGACTGAGTGGCGGGGTAGCCACTAATGGCGCCAGTCCCCTCAGTCTGGCCATCCAGCTGCCCCTCGGACACCTGGATCACCCTGTACATCACCTAGAAGCAGAGAGGACAGAGGGGTAGAGGGAGCAAGAGAGTAAATGCTAGGGTTTCAGGGCCTTCACCAAGTGTCTCCTAGACAGACCCCCAGGCAAGAGTCCTCCAGAGACACAGAGCCAGCCACTGCCCATCTGCCCCCACAGGGGGGTCTCGGCCAAGCCCTATGCCACATCCACCTCCACTCCAAACCTTGGACTGCAGCCCCCGCCCCCAAATGGTCCCCACCTTCTCCTCGCCCTCCAGGTCTCCACATGACAGGGGCAATGACCTCCCTCCAGCCCAACCCCAATAACACCTGCAGCCACCTGACCCCTCCCTTACCTGGCCCCCATTCTCAGTTCGGAAGACGTACTTGACGTTGGGGTCAGGGAAGGTGGCAGCAGACTGGATGCTGGCGATGGCCACACTGGTGGGGTCCTCCCCAGTTGCTACTGCACCTAAACACAAGGAGCAAGGAGGAGTCTGTGTGCCGCCGCCTTTCTCCCCCTGCGTCACTTGCCTGTCACTCAGGGAAGAAGGTGCACAGGTGGCCCGGCAGTGGGGAGAGCCGCGCCCACCCCGGCCAAGTTCCAGTGCACTGAGGTCTCTCCCACTCACCTTCCTGGATCTGCACCGTGCCCTCTTCCGTTTCAGCTGCTTTCTGCTGCCTGTTCGTCAGGGGGCAGAGGGGAGGGTAAGGGAAGAAGTGTGTGAAGAGTTCACTGGTGCTGGAACTCATGGGCCCGAAGTCGCTGGCATGTCCAGCAGGCAGCAGCACGGCGTGGAATTTGCTGAGTGCTCCCGGTGCGCAGACCCGGAGTGGCCACAGCCACATTCACTACTGAGAATAGGGCTACCAGGCAAGTAGCACTGCTTGCATTTCAAATAATGTTTGAAATGTGTGTTAACAATATTTTAGGTGTTGACTGATTTTAGGAGAGAGGAAGTGGTGGAGGGAGAGACCTCCGCGTTGTTCTTCTCCTAACCGATGCAGGGATTGAACCTGCAGCGTTGGGTATCTGGATCATGCGCTAACCCACGGTTGGCCCCGCTGAGGCCTGTTTGCATTTTATAGACCGGGAACCAAATCTCAGCGCCACTGTGCATTTGGGTGCAGCGACCCCAGAGCCAGGGCAGTCTCCCATCCCGGACCCCTGAGGCTACCCCTTACTCACCCCTTCATCTCTCTGTGAGGCGGTGCATCCGAGGGGCGGGCCCTGCCGCGCAGTCTTCCCGTCCCCCTCCTCACGGGCCTGAGCGCTTTGTCCTGGCAGAAATGAGGGGTCTGCAGTGACTCCTGGACACTGGGCGCCCCTGTGTCAGCACACAGGTTCTCTGAGACACAGCCGGGAATAAATCGACCACCACACGGTAAATGCTGAGATGGGCCACAGGCAGTGCCCCCCACCCAAGTGGCGCCCCTCCTGGTGGGGAGGGGACAAGCATACTGGAGCTGACACAGGACGTTTGCAATGCCACCTTTAGACACCACCGGGCCCCTCTTGCAGCTTCTCGGCCACACGCCGAACACCAACCAACTCCTGTTCGCAAATCTCGGAAGGGGAAGCCCGAAGCCCACGGCCACTGTAAAACCCTCCCGAACCCGCAATACCAGACTTGGCCGTTGGGCCCCACGACAGTCACAGGGCTGTTGCTTTGTGGTGTCCACATTTATGTCATTTGCTAGTGACCCAAAAGGCCAAGTGTATCATCCTCAAGCCCCTGCATCTTATTCACCAAGGCTGGAACAACACAGTGGCTAACATGTTGCCATGACAACTCCAAATCCACTGAACCGCAGCAAGAAGGGAAAAGACTCGGCGCCCAGGGTTCCGAAGGAGGAGACAAAGGAGGAGGAGCCCACCTACAAGGTGCCGGCAGGAGGACGCTGACACCCAGCCAGGGGACAGGAAAAACGTCGCGCTGGGTAGACAGATGCCTCCAGAAAGAAACCGCTACACAGAGCAAAGCAATAACATAATTCCGACGCGACAAGGGTAACTTTTTGATACATTCTCTACCCAGAAGGTCCCCCAAACCTTTCCTATCCAAGGAAAATCTTCAGTGGCTGAGCTTTGGGAAGCCCGGGTCCAGAGAAAACGCTCCAAAAAAAAGGGGGAACTGAAAGCGAAACCGTCGGGAGGAGGCGGAGGCGCGCGGTCCCTAAGAGGAAGCGGCGCTGGCGGCCCGGACCACCCACCTGCCCGTCCCCGAGCCTGCGCGGGCAGTGCCCCAGGTGCCCGGCGGACGCAGGAGGGGCGGTGGGGCGGGCAGGGCACGGGGCGTCTCCGCCGCCAACAGCTGTCAGCCAGGGACGGCCTCCGAGGCCCCAGCCGCTAGTCGTCCTGGTCTCAGCTGCGCGTCCGGAAGCATTTCCCGTGCGCGCGGGGTACGCGACGCCGACACCAGGCCGGACGCGGCGGCGCGCACGCTCGCCGAGGGGGCCCCAGCAGGGCCGTTCCCGGCGCGAACACAAAGGGAAAATGATGGGGCGCAGAGGGACCCGGCGCCAGCCTCGCTGGGAGCGCGCCGCCAGCTGCCCCAGCAGGCGCCCGGCGCGGCCAGAAGACCCGGCGGACACACAGGGCGCCGCGCTCAGCCCGGCGCGGGCCGCGGGAGGCGGGACGCGCGGGCCGCAGTTAGAGGCAGGCGCGGCCCCTCCCTCAAAACAAAGGCTTCCCCCGGGGACATCCCTGGCCTGAGAGTCGGAGAGACAGTAGAGGCTGCCCTTTCTTGCCGGCGCACCCCGTCTCCAGGTCCTGTCCTGTGCTGCACTCACCAGCCTCCGTCGCCTCAGCCGCCGACTTTCCCAGACAGCGCAGCTCGCCGAATTCGGGCAGCTCCATCGACAGCTGCGCATGCGCGCTCCCAGCCCGCGGCCATGCTGGTGAGGGGCGGAAGTGGTCCTCTCTACTCCCTGCCCGCCCTAGTCCTGAGCCTTCCCACTTCCGTCGGCTTCATCTTGATGAGGGCGGAAGGGAACTTCTTCCCGGGGTCTGAGAATATGACACTGAAGACCAAGGGGCTTTCGGCGTGAACGGGACAAATACGATGGAAGCATTAACTTGTGCTTCCATCTTTCTGCTGGACAGGGCCTTTTTATTTACTTGCTAGAAAGGGAGGCCCGTCGGCCGGCGGCGCCATCTTTAACAAGGGCGGGCAGGAGACTGTCTGGACTAGGGACACCTATTTGTAGTGTTTCCGGCTGGAGGTTAGGGTGCCTTAGCACACTTGGGTCTGGGTATTAGCGTCCGCAGTCACTCGCCCGAAGACCTTCAAGGCTTCCAGCCTGTGAGGCTGTTTCTGCAGCGGGATCTCGACGCCCGCTCTTCACAGTCAGCGTGAATCGCAGGTGTGGGGTGTCACAGGTCTCAGAGCCCCTGCCACTTACTACCTTGGAAATGTCGCGAACCTCGGGACCTAATGAGCCTTGGTTTTGTCAACCGCAGAACGCTGAGACCAGTACCAGCCTGACACACAGAATCGATAGGGGGCGAAGGAAAGGGCACATGGGGAACACAGCCTCTGCTGGTGCAGAGGAAACATTACGTAAATGCAAGTTTCTCTTCCCAGTTTCCTGACTACCGTGAACCCAGCTCTAGTTTCTGGCCGCAGGTCTCCATGACAACCACTGTGCAGGAGCCCCGGAACAAGAAAAAGGACAAGGATGGGCCACACCAGAAATGGTGATGCCTGTCGCCCAAGACTTGAATAAGAATAATGAAACTCCACACTACGTACATGTAAAAATACAACTTTTATTCTGAGACACAGGCCCTTACCAGGAGGGGACCTATGGCCCCAGCCTGTCTAGAGAAGCCTTCCCAGGCCCTGAGTGGTACCATTCCCTATCCCTGAAACAGGAGGAAGTTTTCCAAAAGAAAAAAAAGAGGCCAAAGGGATCTGTGGGAGACCCCTGAAGGCCACGGAAGGCGGAGGGTGGGGGAGCTGGAAAGGGAGCCAGTCCCTCCAACAAGCACTGAGTTCTTCAAAGCTTCTTGGACCTGTGGCTCCTCGTGGAGCAGGGGGCCAGGAGCTAAACAAGGTCCCACAACACAACCAAGGACCTTGGACCTTGGACCAAGGACCTTGAGGACCATAGGCTCTGACCCGGCCTGTCGTCCCCGCCTGCACCCTGGGACTTCCCTGAAGAGAAGTTCACAGCCTCAGGAGGGCAGATGCTTGCTTGGAGTTCCCCTTCATTCTTCCCTTTGAGAAACCTCTCTGTTTTCTGCCTACTCTTTGTTCCCTTTGGTCGATGACCTCACTCCCTAGGAACAGGCCCTTGGTGGCTTTCTTGGGAATCTCCTGAGGGATGAGTGCTTTGTGTCTGACGCAAGTTCCGGAAAACCAGCCGGGACAGTGCCTCCCACGGTCAGAGAGAAGCTGGAGGGCCAAAGCCCAGAGAGTTGGGCACTGCCTCTGCTCAGGCTGCAGAAGACACCGTTGTCAGAGACTCCAGATTGAAGACCACGTACTGTACCCTGTGTGGCCCAGAACTCGGGCCCTGATCATAGTCCCTCATCCTTCCCAGGGTTAGCCTGTGTTTCAAACGCGTATGTTCGGCGCTGTGGGGGCACAAGTGGGTGAAGGGCCTGGGGTTCTCTGGGGGGCAGACTAAATCGGCTCCGGGGTTCAGACCTTTCCGTGCCTTCAGGTGGGAGCTCCAGGAAGCTGAGGGGCCGCGGGGAATGGGCATGGATCCCGCTACAGGGAGAGGTTCTGGGGATAAGGCTGTAGTCCTCACCCCCAGTACAGGTATGTGTCCTCCGAACTCCCTGAGCCTCAGTTCTCTGGCGATCCCGGGCCAGGGCCACAGCAGCGTCAAAGGAAAGGCTGCCCCCATTCCGCCAAGAGGAGCGAGAGGCTCGGGACCCCCAAACCCTCTCTCCCGGAGTCCCATCCAGCCGACCGGGTCTTGGGCATGGGTTTGCAGGCGCCACGTGGATCTTGCTACACATTGCACCGGGCATCTTGGCAAACTGTGGTTTAGGGGGCACCACTGGCACAGAGCGGACCTGTTGGACCTGAACCAGGGTGGAAGCCAGGCGCATGCCCACACTGCCAGCTGAGCTAAGGGGACAGGGGCACAGACTGCAGCCCTCTGGACTGGGCTGCCCCTCTGGCTCCATCTCCTCTGGCCGGGGTGGCTGTGGGGCTGCTCGTCCCGTCTCAGAGGACTGGTCATTGCCCTCTTTGGCACTGTCAACTTCCAAGGACACTACATATGACCCTTCTAGGAGAAAGCCCCCTTCTAAACGGTCCCCTCCAGCCCTCTGCTCTCCCTCCGCCTCCCCATCCCCACTCTCCCGCTCCTTGCTGACCTCCCCTGCTCCTCCTCCAACTGCTGCTTCTGCGCTTCTGTCTTCACCATCCCCTTGGTCTTCTCTCGCCTCTAGGTCACTGTTCTCCCCCTGCCCTCGGACTTCCCCCTCACCCTCTCTGCCTCCCTCAGCCTCTGGTGTGTGCACCACCTCCCAGCTCTCCTCAGCAGCTTGCTTTCCCTGGGTCCTCTGCCGGGGGTCCCTGCCAGCTTCCACCCCAGCTTCCTCTCCCACCTCAGCCTCCTCCTGTCTCTCAGTCGTTCTTTCCTCCTCCTCCGCACTCCGCTCTCCTGTTTTCTCCACACCTTTAGCTCCCTCCATATGCTCATCCTCCCGCAGACCTTTGGGTGTATTGTCCTTGGCTTCTGTCTCCTCCCCAGGCCCTTCCTGCGAACTGACCGTCATCTCTGGGCTTCCCCCAGCGCCCCCTCCTTCCTCACCTGCCTCTCCGGCCTTCACCTTGCCCTCGGGACTCCCCTCGGCCTCCTCCCTGATATCCCACCCGCTGCCAGCCTCAGCCTCCATGTCCTCCCCAGCGTCCCAGCACGGCTGCCCCCTCTCAGCCTGCCCTGGAGCTGCCTGTCTTCCACACCCAGCCGCCTCCTCCCCCGGACCGCCCCGGCTCTCCCAGGCCTGGGGTTCGGGGCCCAGAAGGGGACTGAGGTCGTCATAGGCACTCAGGAAGACTTCCTCCCCGCTTTCTTCCTCTGCTGCAGGCCCAGGGCCTGCTGAGTCTGAGGAGCAGCAGCTGGGCGCCAGGACAAACTGGGCATCATCCAGAAACAGCTCGTCCAGAGGCGGCTCCACGGAGAACTCCTCCACCTGCGGGCACGGCACATGGTTCAGCACCGGGGTCCCTGTCTCCCCTCTGGATTCTCTGCCTCCCCTCGGCCCAGCATGGCTCCCCCTCACCTGAGGCCCAGCTCCTAGCAGCTCCTCCAGGTAGCTGATCCCAAGGTCGTCATCCCCAGGGCAGAAGGCTGCTCCTGCGGCTCCAGCCTTGGCCACGTCCCCAGCCTCCACTCCCACCCACTCGGGCTCCGAGCCGCTTGAGTCCTCTAGGAAGGAGAAGGAGTCCTGCACCTCCTGGGACAGGCAGTCCTCCAGGGCCGGAGCTGGGGCCAGGGCCGCTGGGCCTGAGTCAGCCAGGGCACCCGGGGTTGGACTTGCCTCCGACTTCTCATCTGTTGGAAGACGGGTAGTCCCAGGAATACGAAGGTCAGGGTCAGCCCCAACCCTTTTCCCACGTGGGTCTCCCTGGCATTGCTGCCCTAGGGGCCCAACATGCCCAGCTTGGCCCCCTACCTAGCTGATTTCTTCACACCAATATTCTGAACTATTGGCTTACAGCTGCCTTAGTCCTGCTCCTACCAGGTGCCGGGCACCGTGCTGTACGTTTTAAAATGCATTATCTATTTCCCCACAAAAGCACCCTATGCTATAGGACGTTTGCCTCCATTTTGCACGTGAGGAAACTGAGGCTGCCAGAGAGTAAGCGGTTTGTCCAAGGTCACAGGACAGGGGTGCAGACGAAGTCTGATCCCACAGCTGCTCCAGGGCCACGCCCTTGCCCCCACGATGAGCTGCGGGCACTTCTCATCCTCGGCGCTTCGAGATTGGGGTGAGAGCAGGACCGCTCCCGGCTCTGCCACCGCCCCCTAAACCAGTGACCCATGGCTTAACCAAGGCTCCGGTGCGACTGCCGTGACACAAGGATGGCCACAACACCTGTGTCATAAGACCACGAGAAAATGAAAAAAGCTAACACCTGCAAAGTCCGTAACACAGCGTTTGGCACGTAATAAGCCTTCGATGAGTGGCAGCTGGTGTGGCCCATCTGACGGCCGTTACTGCCACCAGCGGTGCGTGTCCACCTTGGGCGTGGTGATCCCCACCACGTGTGTCCAAGAGGACCCTGTCGTGCGTGTACAAGAGCCCCTCTGCACTTATTCCACACGAGTGCATTTTGTTACTGGATTCCCTCAGCCTTGAACCAGGGGTGGCAGCTGAAAGGAACCACCCAAAGCCAGGGGCTGAGGCCTCTTCCCTCCCCTCGCCAGAGCTTCAGCCTGTTCCCCAGTCCCCACTTCCAGTCCCTGGGGCCTCACCTGGGGGGCCGGGGCCGGGGCCGGAGGCAAGGCTTGGCCGGGGCTGTAGGGCAGGGCACTCCAGGCCGCGGGTGAGCCTGGCCAAGGACACGTTAGAGATGATGTTCGGGGGCACGTTGAGGATGGAGGTGATGTGCAGTGGGAG